TTCCAGACCTTGGGGGCTCGGACAGTAAAGAAATTCTTCCTTATGTCCAGCCTGAAACGGTCTCGCAGTAGTTTATAACCATTTGACCTCGTCATCCCTTGGGGTGCTCTGGTGAATAAACGTTCCCCCAGATACTGGTGGTCAACCCTGATAAACTTATACGTGGCCATCAGATCACCCCTGAGCCTGCACATTTCCAGGCTAAACAGCCCCATGGCTCTCAGCCTGTCATCCTAAGGTCTGTTTTCCTGACCTCTGATCATGCGTGTGGCTCTTCTCTGGACTCTCTCAAGCTTCTCCACATTCTTTTTGAATTGTGGATCCAAAAACTGGACACAGTACTCCAGCTGCAGCCTCACCAAGGCTGAGTACAAGGGGAGAATGATGTCCCGGGATTTGCTTGAGAAGCATCTATGGATGCAAGCCAGCATTTTGGTCGCTTTACTAGCCACAGCATCGCATTGCAGGCTCATGTTTATGCCTCATGTCTCAAGGCTCATGTCTTCTGGAGTGACAGATGGGGAGGCACAGGACATCGTGTCCTGGCTTTGGACAGCAGCACAGACATGGGGGCTGGGAGCATCCAGGGCTACAGAGAAGCAGCTGGGAGTTTGCACAGCAAATCACAGTAGGGTAGAGACTGAGAGTGGATGAGGAAAGGTGTAGGGACCATACACCCTTCTGCAGGACACACACTCCACATTTGGCTCGGCATCTTTCCTGAGGGTATTGGTTTGGAGCAGAGTGGAGGCATGATCTGCCAAATACCGGAGCAGAGACTCCTCATTCAACTCCATGTCTGTTAAAGAGGGCAGCAAGAGCCACATATGGAAAGGGGCAGTATCATCAGTTGAGGTGCTGGGCCAGGGACAGAGGCCTTGGGCCAAGGCTAGATGTGCTGTTAGAGGCAAGTCACCAGTCCCAACCAGATTTGGTAGGTGCCAGTGAAATACTGACACTGGTCCAGACTCTCACTGTGCAGGGTGGTGCTCATCTCAAAGGATCTTTCTCAGATGAGTGAGGTGAAAGATGCTGGCCCCGTGACGGCTACCTTACCAGAGGTGGGAGAGAAAGGAAGCAGAAGGAAGGGTCTTCTCAAGGTAGGTATAGCAAGATCTACCTTTTCCTGACTGGACAGCCACAACCTTTGGAGAAAGTTTTCAGAGCAGTCTGGCACAGGCTGGTATTCCTAGTCAGGTATTCCTAGTCAGACTCTTACCTGGCAGAGCAAAGGGGCACTTGAACGTTGGGTCCTACCACTTGCCTCCTTAGCAGAAATGTTGGTGTCCCCTATTTGAAAACTGAAAAATCCCTGACAAAAAAATCCCGAAGTCACTGCAAGACGCACATGCGCGCTCATGTGGACATGCCCTGAGAAGATTTTGCTCCAATGTGATAGCATCACCAATATTCCTACAAGCACAGGAGGGTTTGGACTTTTGAAGAAAGGGCCAAAACTTATGTCCCTTTAAAAATAATTTATTTGCCAGAGACTTAGGGCCACGCTACTGCCTAGGCTTCTAAACACCACCACTACCAGGGTTCAACAGGAGCTATGGCACCACAGCTCCATATCTGGGGTATGTGTGAACAAAATCAGGAATTAGAGAGCTGCAGATGCACAGTCCATGCAGAGATGAACCACCAAAAGCCTTCAGTTGAGGTACCCATGATGAATGGCCAATTGCAAAAATTTGGATGGCTCCCAAATTCTCTTTGGGCCCGGAGGAAGAGTTTCTATCAGAAGACGCCAGCAGAAACTGCCTTTTTCTCCCTCCATCATCCACATTTTGTCTAGCTCATAGTCAGTTCTCTTTTTCTCCACATGTCCCATATATTTCCTGAAACCAGGTCCTCTTTTACTTCCCATCCTTTATCATATCCTTCCTTAGTCCTCCTATTTCTCCCAGTTTAGCTTCTCCATTCTCCTCTGCAAGGTAAACAGGTTTGTCAGTCCATAACTCCAGGAGGGCTAAGATTTCTTTACATAGCTAGAATTTCCAATGCATTTTTTTCTGTTGGGCCTCGGCTTTATTTTCTGCTGCATTACACCTACTCATTTCCAGTTAGATGGTGATTGGCTACTTAAAGGCACTGTGATAATCTGAGGAAAAAAATGCTGGAACTTCACCATAACCTTCTCTTCTTGTTTTCATTATCACCTACTTTGGCAGTTGGTCACTTGCTGCCGGCTATGATGACCCTAAGGCTATATGAGAACACAGTCCAGCAGTTAGCAGACATTAGAAGCTTCTTTCCCTGTAACAAAGGAAGGGAAACTGGCTGCTTTTGTGTACATGAATATGAGAGATAGATGGACTTTCTCCAATGGGTAGCAGTTATGGCAGGGGTTGCACTAAATGTTCTTACTCATTTGAACAATCTGGGTCAAACATTTTATGCCTAGATTGCTAGCACAGGCTGAAGCAGACATACAAGACTGTAAGCGTGTGGATACTCACTCCCAATATTCTGCTTCAGTAAATCAAATTATGTCTTGCTACATTGTGTCTGATAAACATCAGATGTATGGCCACTGTGTAATAGGAGATGGCATATAACTTAATTTAACTTCTGGTTAAATTAAGTTGGGTATTTCTGCCCAATATTTTAGTACCAATGCATTTTGCACAAACAGTGACTGCAGACATACTAGTTCCAAGAGATTAAGACCATCCAGCAGAATTTTTCTTTTCCATTTAGAACACGTTATTAAAATACTGAAGACTTGGGTGAGAGAAAGGATGGTACAACACATAGCTTGGCCCTGACTGGGACTCAGAGGGCTCAAGTTCAACTCTTTGCTCTTTGCATCACTTCTCTATGTGATAATATGCGGATAATGGGGCAAAAAAATTCTCAGTCAAGAATGTTATGAAGATAAGTACATTCAATTATAAGATACACATATGAGTATGAATATAGAGAGCTATGAGTTCTGTACTGCGTTATTTTAGACAGGGGGAATGCTGAAAACTGTTTCCTACCCGTCATTCTGAAATATGGGCATTTTACCTTCATATACCACTGATCAAAATGTAAATGAATATTAGGGACAACATCAATAACCAAGTCCTTTACGACTGTATATAGAGTGTAAATTATAAGCCAGCACATTCTAGCCACTTGAGCTCAAGCTGAGAGCCAAGAGCTCACAAATTCTGCCAGCTCCAAAAACTAAATTCATCAAGACAGTTTCAGTTGGAAAGCAGAGATGGTATTTACCCTCCAGCTAACTGAAAACTATTTGCAAAGGCACCTTGGAAAAAGAAAAGGTGCCACAATTTGGCACTAGGTGTTAGGTATATAATAACATAGGATCAGAAGTGATTTCCTGGGTAATCAAGTTCATTCCCTAGCAACCTCAGGGAGCTATTTTACAAAGTGTGATATTAGGGATATTTCTGTAATGGATTTCTAAGCTCTTAAATAAACTTCTTCCATTATTTAATATGAACATGAAAGCATTAACCCACTTCAGTACAGATCAGTTTTCAAAGCTTCAGTTAAAGTCTTGCTCAGGTAGGCCTGATGGAGACTACTATCATGGGGCCACGTGGTACACAAATACCTGAATAGCTCCTCAATGTCCTCATCAAGGCTGGTGCTTAATCTTTGCTCTTTCTGTCCACAGGCAGTTGGCAGCAGTAGTGAGTCACCAAGTTTAACAGTCCCACCAAGGTCTGGATCTTCAAATAACTTTAGGTCTAAAGAAGGAACCAGCAGAAAGTGTTAGTTACCTGCACATGACATAAAGCAACACCAACACAGATGCCAGCAAAGGAAGCCAGCCATGTATTGCATTGATTTTTATACAAAACTTCCATTTTAAAGTAAAAATCCACAAAGTGCAAGGAAATAAATTGTTGACATATTGCACTTGCAGGGCCTCTAAATCTATTCCCTTCAGGAACTCAGGAATAGTTTGTACCCAAGCCTGCTTACATCTCGCTTTTCAACATAAGACAGACACCCATAAAAACTGTAAATCCAAGTTCCAACAGTATATGAATCCTGTAATTCAGGTCCTGCTGTTTTAAATCTCCAGCTGATTTTGCACCAGGTAAAAATCTGGCCTAAAATTGATGAGTCCGAATCAAAGTTAAACCAATCCATTTTAAATGCCCAAAGTCATTTTTAAAACTTTAGGGAAAGCAATCTAACTCTACAGATCAGAGATAGAACTGATTTACTATCTTTGATTGATGAGTCCTTGGAACCGGTGGATGAAAAATCCTTTACTGGGCCAAACAGTCCTTCATCTGGATCTATTTCCTCATCAAAAATGTTTAACTTGGGCCTGTCTTCCTTGGCTGGAGGAGGTGGGAGCTTCTTCAGTTTTTTAGATCTAAAAAAGGACAAGAACAAAATTCAGCTGCTATTGTGAAACAAGCATTCTCAAGCAACTGGAACTAAAAGCATTCTGTTTATAAAGCAGCATATTCACAATTACAATCTTTTCACATTTGGTTTAAATTGCTTTATTCTTTGCAGGATTTTCAATTTTGCAGGGAATAGCAGTAGAAACATCACCAATTCCAGTAGCTAGCACTGGAACAGAGTAAAAAGAAATGGTTTGATAAGGAGCAGAGTGTAGGCCATCCAGTCTGTCCACTGATCAGCTTGGATATGATACAGGCACACATTAAATATACCAAACGTTTCAAAAGCCTCATTAAACCCTATTCCCCAGTAACAAGGCCCAAGGTTGGGGGCTGGGCTGCATACTGTGCATGTCCAGGGAAAATAGGAGAGAAAATAGCACTGCAACCTCACGAGTCCCAAGATGGATGTCGTACACAGGGGACCTCCTTCACAGCTTACTGCACGTTTGGCTGAAGGGAAGGCAGACCTAGTGGTTGCTAGGCCCTACATCACACTGACCGCTGGAGAAAGTACCCCAGGTCATGAATTTTACTCAAACACCTATGGCACCCAGGGCTCAATCAGAAGCATGGGTGGGGACTGGAGCAGGGGTTGGGGGTGTTGCACAGCCAAGTCAGTGCGTGGGGCCTGGAGCAACGAAGCCCTGTGCTGGCTGCACTGCCATGGTGAGGCGTCCCCTGACAGCCTGGCAGCAGTGGGGGTGGTGGCAGCATGGAGCTGTGCCCCCCACTGCTGCCCAGTAGGCAGAGGGTGTGCAACCAGTGTGGGGCTCTCAGGGGAAAGGCAGCAGGGCAGGGAGCCCCAAGCCTGCAGCAGGCAGCCCATATCCATCTCCCTGCTCCACCTAGCTCTGTTTCGGCCAGGTGGGGGAGGGGGTGGTAAAGTGGGCATGTTTTGTGTCTTGATGCCCATCTTGCTTGGGTCACCTGAGCCCAGAAGTCTTTCCTGCCCAAGTGTGGGGGGGGAGGGGGGAAGCAATGATCTGTAAGGTCCCCTCCAGTCCCTGACATCTATGAAACTATAATTCCCCCTGCAAAGTGAGAGCATGTATGATCCCTGACACTCCCTCCCCGCAGCTGCAATGTACGCCCTCGCAGACACCCCCATCCCCACCACCGCACCACACAGGCATGGAACCCCGTGCCGCCCCGTTCCCACCCTCGGCTCCACATGCCACTCACTACATTGCCCCACCACCGGAAGAAGAGGTTGCTGTCGCAGTGAGACCATGATGGCAGCAGCAGTGGATGGGCAGGAGCCCAGGGACAGCAGCATAACCCCTTGTGAGCTGTACATGGCCAGTGGGCTGCCAGCTGGACAAGCCTCTACCTTAGAGCATCACAGCATTTGCACACAATGTCTAGAACTGTGAACCCACAACCTTAACAGATGTGTGCTAACAAGTTGCCAGAGCAGACCCAGTAGATGTCTCTCACAAGAGAAAAATCTCCTTTACCCACCCACTCAGGTTTCAACCTGTAGCAAAACCGATTGGCACCCAACGTGTCATTACCCTCCAAAGAAGAAGGGACTGAGCTCCATAACAACAGGTGCATGCCAAGCGTGTTAAAAGGCCCAGTAAAATACTCGTTGGATTACAGCCACACGCCGAGAGCAGAGTCCAATTACTTTATAACAAGTTTATAAGAAACAAGACAAAAGCCCGGGTGGTGCGTTGCCACCGACAATTCAGCTCCTAGCAACAAGCGCTTGAGGAGAGCACATAAGACCCACATGTAATGTTTAATCACAGCAGGCCCTGGAGACACGTTGTGGTCAGCAGAACGGATGAGGAAGCATTTGCTGAGCTCTTTATTCAGTGTTTTGACGCAGTGAGGAGCCATAAAAGATGTACGAGAGGGAAGGGCAGGTGGTTACAACACAGGCCTGGGTAACCTGGGTTCAATTCCTGATCAGCTGTAACTCTTGGGTGGTACTGGGCAAGTCTCCTAGGACCAGGCTGTCTTTGTAGGCACCTAGGCTTCACACGGCACATGGCTGCCAATGGATGGGGTAAGTACTGACGATCCCTGCCCAATGACCAGGCAGGACTCGGCTGATTCAGAGCTCCTGGCGCAGAGCAGGGGGGTGCCTACTGCTAGGTGACAAAAATGCGAGGCCCATGGATGTGCCTGAGGTTCACGCTATGGCTGCCAGTCACTTGGGTCCTGGAGCATCCGGGGGGAAGCACCGACATGCACCAATAATACTGAGTTCAGTACAAAGCACAGCACAGTCACTCCCACTGTGGGAGTCCCATCTCTCGCACAACAGCCTCGGGGCTACAAGGATCACCCAGATAGTGGGAGACCCCCGTTTAGGCCCCTCAAGGGGCAAGAAGGAAAGGAAACAAGGGGAAGCAGGTTTCTGTGGAGACAGCTAATGAGTCATGCTCCACCCGGGGTTGAATCACCCCTCAGGCACCCAGCTGATGCATCTGCCAGAGGCCAACTCTCCCTCAAAGAGACGGAGCCTTGAGAGCAGCAGGAAGGGCTCTGCAAAAGTCTGCAAATGAACTTCTAGACGCCCCAAATCCCAGCATCTTGCCTTGACTCTTGGTCCCTGTTCTTCAACTCCTGGCAGCTTAGTCTGGCTTCCAGCCCTTGGCTTGTGCTAACTACAGCGCTCAGCTCCTCACTCTAGGGTCTCGGTGGCTTCCTGATCCCAGTTTGAATTGCAGCTTCCTGATTCTGGATCCTGGACCTTTGCTTGTTTCTAGCAACGACTCTGGCTCCCTGACCCCAGCCCATTCCTGATCACATCTTTGGCCTACAGGTGCTGTCCTGACTAGACCTGGGCTCCTGATGCCTGGCCCTTACTGCCTCCATCCCAGCTGTGACAACTGCTTTTCCTTAGTAAGGGGGAAACCCTGGGTTCTCGTTCCTTCTTCCTGGACTGTTTATGCATTTTATCCTAGATAGTCACTAGGTATACGGCAGATATAGCCTGGAGAGCACAGATCAGAGTCCGGCACTCCAACCCTTCCTAAGAGTGCGCCCTACTCAAGAGGCTAGGAAATCATCCTGTCTCTTTTTTGTTCACCTTCTGCTCCTACAACACTTGTATTTTTGGCTACCCCATGGTCTAGCCCCAACAGGAAGAGGTGGAGACTGCCCTCACCCAGACTATTTTATAGCTTGGTGGTTAGGGAACTCTCCTGGGAGGTGGCAGATATAGGTTTAACCCCCCTGAACTAAGGCAGAACTCAAATCTGCCACTTCCTGGGTGAGTTCTGTAATCTCTAATATGCTATGATGCAAAAGTGAGCCCTGACGCCATGCCCACCAGGTGTATTTTCAAGTGCCAGCAGCCACTGGTGCTCAGTTTTGTGGTGTCAGATGTGCTGCATGGGAATTTAACAGACTGAATCCCTTCAGGGGTTCAGATGCCACCCTAGCTCTGGTCCAGACTGCAGCAGAGCTTAAGTGAGAGTTCGACGCCTACCTGCTTAAACTCCATTGTGCCAGGCCACGCTCAGTAGCCTGAAGTCTAAGAACCTGAGAATCGTTTCAGGCAGAAATAGGTGCGCTGAACAAAAGAGGTGCAATCTGGATTGCTTTTTTCAACTTTTGATGCCTAAATTCTACCCAAGTTCCGTTTTGGTGCCTTATTTACTGGAATACTTATAATCCCTGCAAAATTGTAAGATTCAGAATGTGAACCTCTTACTCGTGAAAGTGAGCAGTCCTTCATATAAGCCACTCACCGAAGACCACTGATGTAGAGGGAAATGACAGGAAGAAAGGAAGAGCCAGAATATTAACGTCACCACAGAATTGTGTAAAAAGAAAAAAAGAACCAAAAAAAATCTTACTAATATTTCTGTTTAGTCTGGTGACCAAATCCTCCTGATTATATTTGCTCAGTTTTTGTTTTGCCAGGATCTATCATTGGCATCTTCAAAGCACTGGGCTGAAAGCACAGAAATCACAGGGAATGTTTTTTAAGCGTTACCAGGAGAAAGTAGTTTTTTTCTGTTGTCAAGCTGCTTCTTCCTGCCCTTCTAAGGACACCAGTGACATAATCCCAAATGATTCATGTGTGCCTGTAATGTGGCTTACTTGGGGTCAGGCTGAGAAATAATTCCCACAGTTCTGTATTTAGCTGTACCAGTCTCTGCTGCTGCCGCAAGAGCAATAGGGATATTATGGCAAGGCAGCCTCAAGAGCAAGTGTATTCATGAAGCTCCACCACAAGGCTCCATCCTACGGAAGTGCAGAGGAAAGAGCCATCCACCAGTAGACTGCTTTGTTAATTATGGTCCATTAAGGTAAAGCAAGCTGAGGGGAAGGCAATGGAGTTCAGGGCGGTAGATAACAGAGACCCTGTGCCCAGCCCACACCATGAGGAATGAAGCCGCTGGTTGCAAGAATATTGTCCCACACGAACCTCCAGAAGCATTTCTATATTTGGCCCCCATGGATGCTTCTATTGTCTTCTTTGTGTGGTTCATCTCTACATTACATTCATAGTTTCATAGTTGTTAAGGGCTGGAAGAGACCTTACAGATCAGCAGGTCCAACCCCCTGCACTTGGGCAGCAAAGACTGCTGGGATCAGATGACCCCAGCAAGGTGAGCATCCAGACACTTTTTGAAGATCGTCAAGGTGGGTGACTGTACCATCTCTGTGGGGAGCCTGTTCCAAACCCCCGGCATCTGACCTGTAAAGAAGTTTTTCCTTATGTCTAGCCCGAAGCAATCCTCAATCAGCTTGTGCCTATTATTTCTTATCCTCCCCTGGGGGACCTTGGTAAACAGATGCTCCCTCAGACCCTTGATACACTTATAGGCTGCCACCACATCCCCTCTCTTCTCCAGGCTGAACAATCCCAAGTCTTTTAGCCTCTCCTTGTACTTTAGGCCTCTAATCATGTGTGTGGCCCTCCTCTGGACTCTCTCGAGCTTCTCCACCTACTTCCTGATGTGCAGCAGAAGTGGAGGCTCTTAGAAATCCAGCCTGC